CGTTCAACTTGCCAGGTGCCTGATGTGCAACGCAGTGACGTTACCAGGCTGATTACTTGGATGGCTCCAAAGTGAACGCATCTGGTTAGGACTGTTGGCTAGTCAGAAGAAAAGACACTAATTAAATATTTCTTGCTTTTTCAGGTTTGTCCCTCTGATTAGCCACTCTAAAAGCACTCCAGGGAAAATCACAGTTATCTTTAACATGGAGAGACATGATTAAACATTCCTGTGCTAACAAAACAAAACAAAAAAAAAACCAAACAAACAAAAAAAAAATCAAAGCAATCAGCTCCAGCAAGGCTAACAGAATATGTCTGTATTCAAACTAACTGTTAACCCTTTCAGTCTGGCAGAGGAAAGCGTGAGTGATGTCATGGAAGTTGCCAAAGAATCTCACTGACACACACCATTTGACCAAATTTACTTGTTTCCCAAGCTGAATTTGCTATCAAATATGTATCTATATCCATACATGTTGGATGGACATCTACTGGGCATACTATGCTCTAAGGCAAATCATATTCCTGAATTTAACATCCACCAAACCTGGAGTAGTGACTAGTAAACTGTTACCACTGCCAGTTTCTTACACCTGAACCTTCCACCTTGTTTTCAGTGAGACCAGTTCCAGCGTGCCAATGTACAGATCACCACGGCTTTAATTTTATTCTTCCAAATAACACATGCTAACTATGAAGCTATGTTAATGATCAGCATTTCCACTAGGCTTTTACCAAACCTGTGGTGGGTTTGGGGGGATCTTTTCCTCTCTTTCTTGTTAGCTAATGCCTGGGAAGTCTTTACTCCTAAAATTTCCTTGCTTGCTACTGCCAAAATTAAAGCCTTAATACCACAACAAGATCTATGCTAAGTTCACAATGCCACAGACTTGTTCTGTGATCTTTGCCAAAGTACTTTATCACAAGCATTTATATGACTGTTTCAGCGATATATTTATAAGGTCCTACACGTTGTAAGAGAAACTTCCTTTATCAGTGAAAGTATAACATAATGAGCGTCAGTTCGCCACTAATACAAAAATGGCAGGTAACTCTCATTCCTTACATTTCATATATATACTTGGTAATTCTTTGAATGTTATAACTTGGCAGTCTTCTAAAGGATGCATACTACATGTACACAAAACCTGCACAACAGCCTCCAGCTGTCACAAGGGCCCCTATATGAAAATATAAATATCCTTTGGCAGGATTTTTTAAATTAATACTTAATTCTGGAAAAATATTCCTATCTACCAACAGATATACTCTCAGGTAGACTAAGCCTGAAAGTGAAAAATATTGTTAGATTTGCTAGCTTTGGTAAAGGACAGAAAACGGTACATTGCTGGTTTTTAACCACAGATTGGCTGTAAATCTTCAAATGTTTAAGTTGTTTGCTTCAATTTCATAGCCTCTATAACCTTTAAGATACTGGCAAAATTTCTGCAAACTAAAAGCTCACTGAAGTCTTCGGTAAGATGTACCCCCAGATTTCCCAGTTTGGAATTAAAATAAAATTCTGTAACATAGCTCTGGGAAAAGAAACCTCAGTGGTACAAAATGTAACTGCCTCTCCAAGCCCACATCTATATTTGAATGTCCTTGTGACAAGACCTTAAGGTATTCAGAGGAGCAAGGTGGAGCTGCTTTTACCTTTTACTTAAAGCCCTCCGAAAACACCAACAGGTAGCGGTTACTGCTTCACAGGTAGCGTTGCTGGACTGCAGACTACAGCAGGATGAAGAAACCTCGGTTCTGCTGGGTGAAACACGAACATTGCAAACAAATCTCCTCCCTGCTCATTACGTCTGTGCATGGCACAGCCTTTCTTCTTCCCTTGTGCTGTCCAGCAGGTTTTCCCAAAGCTACAAGAACCTGTATCTACAGAGGCTACAACATTTTCCTTTTTTCTTCCCCTTTGAAACGCAGACATGGGCCTTTCTACCACTCTTCTCCACATCACCACCTGTGCTGCAAATTCCCAGCTCGCTGTCTCCCTCCTGCCTAACTCCTCCCCTGGGAACTTCCCCAAATGAGCTTTCTGGCACTGTCTTTGCCTCACTCCCAAAAATACTCAGGCTCAATATTCAGTGGCAGAGAGGACAACACAAGGAAACAGTCCTTCTCCTGCTGCACGTACAAGTCCTTTTACCAGAAAGGCCAACAAAATACAGTAAAGGGTGAAGAACCACACACAAACGGTATCATCGCCATCAGAACCTGGAAAACCATGATGTGCTGCTTAGGTTGTGCTGAGGTGGTTCGCTCAACAGAAACCTTTTCCAGTGGTTTCTATATTGCTACCGAAGTCCCTTATACCAGTGAGCGTATGTAATTGTGCACCTCACTAATACCAGACACGAGGGCTATTTTGTATATTCATAACTCTTCTGCTTAGTACAGAAGGAGCCTTTTCTGTAAAACTAAGGTGAATCTTACTTTTGGTGCACGTCACTGTTGTTTGTATGGAATTAGAGTCTCCCTCAGATGCATCAATTCACTGCAGAAACGCTACACAAAAATCAGGAGAGACTTTGGGACCTAAGTAGTATACAACCGAGATGGTCACAAACACATGTAAGCCCCTTTAAAATATTACTCTAGTTTTGTGAGATTAAAGATTGAGTTATTATTCATTTCTTTGAACTCCTACTCTGAGATGTCTTAGAGAAGACCTGGCAGAACCCAATCTTCACTATATTTAAACGTATTTTCTGAATCCTTATCTTTTCATATATGGTTTACAGAGACTCATGTCTTGGTTTTTGTCAAAGATAACTGAGGGGTTACACAGGTCTAATCATAACTCTTCATATCGGCAGTAAGACTCGAGGAAACTCTGAATTCTGGTACTTCATACTGAAGGGATCCCTAAATGATTCTGTTCTTCTCACAATCATTCAAGAACCTGAAAGTCCAGAGAGTAGCCTCAAATCTCTCATTCCCATAAATTTAACAAAGGTCACAGCATGGCCAATTCAGCTGAAAAGTGTTATTACAGAAAAACTTGATGATACTTTTATGTTCACTGATGTGAACATAATTCTCTGCGTCCTTTAGCTACATATAGCATGTCTTATCCATAGAGACACTTCAGCAGATATATACAGTACCATGAGCAAAGTTAGAAGTGATGAATTCTCTGATTTATAACTTCTACTGATAACAAGATGATAGAAAATCTTAAATGTATAGGTGTTATTATACACAGTGTGTAACTTCGCTCAGCAGAGCACGGATGTGAAAGAAAAAAATGCTTATCACACCTGAACTAGGGAGCCACTTCATTGAATGACCCTTGTTGCCTGTAAAGAGTTGAGCTGATCTCTAACCAATGCACAAGAATCTTAAAGATTGGGTTAGCTTTGAGAGCGCTAAGTGTGGATGTGGGTCTATAATCCTTACTGCTTTTAAGGATCACATGCAGGAAGAAAGATGCATATATAGACCACCTTTTTTTCGTGACAGATTTAATATTCTAAGGAGATCTCAAGCTGCTGAGTTGACATTGTACCTCCTAAAGATCAACCACTGGTTTTTAACTATGTAGGCACAAGAAAGTAATTATTATAAACTCATTAGTGATGAGGAGCTAGACAAACAGTCCAAATCCTCCTCCTTCCATTTTAAAGCTTTGGTGACTGGCAAAACTGGACTCAAGTGAGAGCCCCTTGGTTATAGCCCGTTTAAAGCAGAGGTGGTGTTCACTCACGTTAGGCTGCAGTTGCGTATCAGTGCCATAAGGGTCCTCAGCACTGGTCTCCCTGTGACCTGAGAGTTTAAGCACACAGCCTAGATAAATATGAATTTGTTAATCTTTATTAGAAATCTACTTCTACAGCTGATTCACAGCGAAGTCACTTAGTCAGATGAAATCATTGCACACTAAACAACCCCGTTAGAGATGTTTACCCAAGCAAAGGACATTCAATTGTATTTTCATTAGTAGCACTATATGGTTATTGTCCTTAAAACCAAGGCTCTTAGACTTAATCTATTTGCTTACAGCTGAATTTTCTTAAGAACTAAAAGCTCAATTTTACTACTCTGTGGCATTACAAAATTAGGTTGCCTGTAGATTAATAAAACAGAGATTTGAGGCTCAAAAGTGGTCCTGCCCAGTATTGCAGCTCTACCAGTGGACTGTCTGAAACTTTAAGGAGTCATGGGTTATCTAATTCTAATGATACACATTATTAAATAGAACATTATTTAATGAGAAAGTCACTGGTTGTGATGAACAGCAGGCGATTCATCTATCAAGAGAAGAGTTTAGGGTTTTTTTGTGTGGTGGTTTTTTGGGGGGTTTTTTTGGTTTTTTTGGTTTTTTGTTTTTTTGTTTTTTTGTTTTTTAAACAGAAGATATGATGTTTCGCTCTGCTTAATTCTGTGCGGCTCAAGAAGATGGGAAAGATGGTTGATCTCATCCTTTTTACTTTCTATAGCCATTTTCTGGAAGGACAAGTCCTCCCATTAAGTGATGGGGGGGAGTTTCGGGGAGTTTCTGGTTTCCTTGTCTCGTAGCACTCGCTGCTTTCCTACCAGTGGTGCAAAGGCAGCAGAGCCCAAGGCAGAGTTCACCACTGGCTTACCAAAGTCAGTCAACAGCTGTCTGAGACTCCTCCTTTGGCCTCAATCTCAAGACAGCCACGGATTTTGGGAGTCTGAAGTTGAGCCTTTATTTTTGAAAATGGGGAAAAATATAGTTTCTTTCCTAACAGTGCTTTTTAGTTTTTAGCTTATTATCTGTTCACTCGACTATGCCTTCCAGGAAGATGCCGCTGCATTTTATATAATGTTCACATGTATTTGTACGGATTTTTGCAGTGCTAACTTTAACTCAAGTCAGGGTATATTTTACTTAGAAGTAAAATTTCTTTTTTTTCCTCTCCAAATAAAATGGAGTTTTCTCCATTTATCAGTTACAAAAAGCATTTCTACCTAATAAAAGGTGTATTATAACATTAGTAAATAACATTTTTGTTTCTTGTACAGCTTTGCAGTAAAGGTTCTGCTATAGACAATACCTTTGTGTCATCTCCAGAAGATATTTCCAGTATCGCCAGTTTTATTGAGACAAAGCTTGTAACCTGCTACTTAAAACTGAGGAAGCCTGATGATGCTCTGAATCATTCACACAGGTAAAACTAAATATTGATTAGATACGCTGCTAAGACTGAAATCAAAAATTAAACAAAGACTATGAATAAATCCTGTGCAGGAAGAATCAGTCTAATAATGAGAAAAGAGGAATCAGTAAAACACAACTTACACATGGCATTGATGTTTAGATTGGACTAATTCTCAGCATTTGAGACATTAAGCCACAATAGCTATGTACACATTTACTGCTTTGATGGTGCGGTAGGTAAGGATATTGCAGGTGAGTCACTGGCAGAGTTCAGGGCACCTTTAAGATTGAAGCTAGACAAATATAAACATGTTCAGCCTTAGATGACAGTAATGATATTATAAGCTCTTGATCTTTTTCAAGCCAGATTAGGTCAGGGATGGCTTCAAATTATTTTCTTTACATAATTCCTCATGGGCTCGCTTGTGATCCACATCAAAGACCAGGACCACCAGCAATGCATAAAGAAGCCAGAAACAAAACTTGCACATGGTGGAGATGAAATTCCCATTAGTTTCAGATGAGTTGGGATTTTGCCGGGTTTGTGCTGCCTTTAATTAACATTCAGGCATAACGATAGTTTCTGTTAAGCGCATGCAAGTCCTGCCAGCAACACTTTGTTATTGCAGTCTCTGTTCATTTTTTCCCTTGCATGAGATGTATTAAGATGGACACTGCAATTAGTGCAGGGTGAGGATTTTTTCATACAATCATCTCAAATAAACGTAACTACAAAAGAGTAGTTAGAACAAACGAGGAGCACATGGTTACGCCCAATGCACAGGAGACAGTGGTAAAGAATATTGTGTTGGTATAGAAATGTAATGCCATCGTGGCAGCAGGTTCTTTTAGCTACGCGCAAAGTCGTGGGAAATCTGAGAATCCTGACTTAAGGACAAGGTCTTCACCTCCCGTCCGCACTCATCCCCGCCCCTTTCCCAAGCATGTTCCATCTTTAAAGCTATGCCTACCCGGAACCCATACACATTGTGAGGGTGCATCCTTCAGGCTACTTCCAGGTACCATTCTGGGTTGACACACCACAAGTGGTTAGAGGACGTTAGGTGCGCTACCAGCGCTCGTCTAGCAGGGACGCGACCTGCATTCCTTTTGTGTGGAGTATTCTGTTAGGTGAGCCAAAGCATAGGAAGTGGGGAAGACTGTGAGATTCCTGCTTAAACAAAACAAAACAAAGAAAAACCACCACACACCACAAAACAACAAAAAAATGCACTCTTCACGCAAACTAAAAACCAACCACATTTTTTCATGGCTTCTCAAAAACTATGTTAAAAAGAAAAAAATATATAAAGTTTGACTGGACACCCAACTTTTGGAAAAATGGCAATTATCGCTCTCTTATTCTAACTGATTTCCAGGAACACTAAAATAAGGAAGCAATTTGGACAGTATAGATGTAACTAGAACAGAAAATACTTTTCTTTACCTCCTTTAGATAATCTTGATTTCAAAATAGTAAGATGTATTGACCCCAGTGCTACAGAAACTAAATCCCATTCAGACATGCTTTGGTTTCAATTGTCTTAAAACAGAAACCACGACCTATAGAAACCCATGACCTACAGAGAAAATAAATGGAGTCAGCTTGACATCACTGGAAAACTGAGGGAGGGAATAATCCTCCACTTTTCTTTCTTATATATAATTATAACAATTTGTTCTTAACTCCTCTAGTTACATAGCACAAAGTGTCAATCAGTAATGTTTATTTTCAATATAATTCATTTATTAGCTTGCAGAATGGGAACATATCTACTGACCACAGTTGCCACGTTGTAAAGTGCAGGAACTGATATAATAGTATACCAGTAAAAAAATATTCTGAGACATAATTAACAAAAAGACAAAACTTGAAATATAATCAATAGCTGTATTTTTTCCAAAAGAATAAATAAATTACTCTGAGCTCTCCTACTAAAAATAGCTTACTGCCATCAGTTAACTAGTGCATATAGAATTTTTATTCCCATTGAGTTTTTATTTCATCACCACATTGTAATGGTTTGCTGGTAATCCTTTGGCGTTAATCATGAATCCAAATTAAAATATTCATTTCTGCATTTATTTGCATTTACTGAACTATTCTTTCTTTAATTTCATGTAAATTTCACAGCTCCTGCATTCATTTCTGAAACCGTAATAGCTAAAAATCGGCCTTAATATTCTCATACATAGTTGTATCAAATATATAGAAGTGGGGGTTGCTAGGAAGAAAACTTACAAAATATCACAACTAGAGAAACAGAGAAAATAGAGCAAAACTCCAGCAGCTCGGTTTTAAAGTGTTCAAGAAGAGGCATCTGCAGGGGAATAGCTTTCCCGTTCTTAAGAAAGGAAAGTGAGTACAATTTATATCATCAGCTTTAGATTCTGTATGAGAAGCCAAGTCTGGGTCCTCCTGAAAAGTGGAAATTGTATTCTCTCATTTCTTAATATCAAAATTTAAGGCTGCCTTTAGCATCACTGGCACAGTTGAGGACACTGGCTGGGTTCTGATCATTTGTCAGGCTGATACAAAAGATTTACCCTTTGCGATCAAACACTATTAAAAGCACTTCTCATCCGTCACAGCTCTGAACAAACGTGCCATGGATTGACCTCACCAAGCAACATCTGCAGTAACCTACTTGACCACCACTTTTCATCATAAGATAGCCATCAAAATAATTCCTAACTTGCAGTCTGAAGCTATAAAATGAATCACACAGTATTTACATGCCCTGTGGTCCTTTTGGCCCAGGCATTATGGCATACCAGGGTTTAATGATCTTAATAACCCCATATGGCTTGCTGAGAAATTAGATTTTCCCTTTGGTTGCAGAAGGCAATTTTCAATTATAGCAGATGGCAAAACAGTGAAAGTCTGAGAAATCAAGAACTGACTAAGAAACCTCAGTTTAGTACTTGGGCCTTATGTTGCTCAGTCTAATAATGTCAGTGGTTGAATTTTTGCCCCCAAATGAAAACCATCTTGACGCTGAGCACAGCATTTCAGCAGAGCAGTCCCCAGTTACGCCTGCTCTCCAGAGGGCCAGGCCCAACAGAGAAGTCCATAAAGCTGCAGTCGCATGTGGAAACGCAACCCACAGCGCATCACGTATGTAGCAACTGTTAAGATTCATTTTTATTTGAAGTTGGAGAGCACGATGCTGACAACTGAAGGTGGAGGGTCCTTCAAAACACGATATACACGACTTTCTCCATGAGACTCTACATCCCCTTACAGTTTCTTTGTTTATTTTGCCTTTTTCCTCCAAGCAAGCTAAAATAAATCTGCATCAACAACATATGACTTGCTGTTTGCACCCGGGAAAATAACACAGAACCTTTCTATTGGACACATGCTTTTTGCCCCTGCACCTACACTTCCTCAGCTGCTATGGTCCTCAGGGCACACAAGATTTGAAGGATAACGGACACGTGGCTTGATCGAGTTACCTAAACATAGACTGTTGTTTGTAGAGGTCCTGTACGTGGATCAAGCACTAGAAAATGTGGAGGAGGTTAACGTCACCTACCCAGCAGCAAGTCACAAAAAGCATTTTGTTTCATTTCTGCCTACTTTTGATCAGTCCCTGCCCAGCTGTAGTGTGGCTGCTGGTGCCATAGGCTGCCCCTGGAAATCAGCTCCTCAGCAGGGGAACAAGGCCACCCACCACAGGAGAAAAGTCCCACCTCTTCCCAATGGGATCGGCACCACGCCATGGGCAGCCCACGGCTGGTTGTGGGAGATGCATTGGGAAGGGCCACCTGGAAGGACGTTTGCGTCCTGCCTCTCCCCAGAGCATCCCTGGGCTTCGCTCTCTGCCCCGCTTCCCTCGGTCCGGAAAGTGTGAACGTGAGGGAGGAAGAGGCATCAGTCATTGTGGCATGTTTCTTTAACATTATCTCTAAGTAGAGCCTGAAAAAATATGATAATTCATGATAACGAGGACTGCTGTCCGAAGCTATTCAAAGTCTTCGGGGGTTAGCAAAGATTGTCCTGTGTCCTTGAAGACTCTGCTCAGCAGCATGACCCGCTGCCAATTCTCTCTCTCTCCAGAAAGGCAGCGCATAGAAAATGTAATAAATCTGTAAAGCTTTTTCCGCTCTGCCTTTTTATGTGTTCGGTGGAAGGCAGGGCTCTCCAATGCCTCTTGCTCAATTCATAGGGAGACACGCGAAGTAGAAAAAAGCAACTCTGTTAAGTAGTACACGATTGCTTTGGTGATGGCTTAACAGAGGGATTCTCTTATGGAGGCACAGGGGGAAAAAAAAAATCTAGAATAGCTGAAGCCTCACAGATTTAATTTCCCCAGTGACTTTTCAAACACTTACAAAAGGTTTAAAATAATTATTAGTGATCAAGCATTATGCAATATCTGTCAGAAAAAAAAAAATCTCAAAACTCGGTCAGCGTATTATAGCCAGGATAAGTCAGGACTCTTTAATCCAGATTAATTCAAAACTTTTAGACTAAAAATTTGATATTCAGCTACTTCTGCATTCCCTAGCTTCCTTATTTTGCACCTTTAAAATAGGACTATATTAAATCAAGTTGAAGAATGGAATTCTAGTGAAATATTAAATAATCAAAAATAAATAATGCAATGATGCTCTGATACAGTGCAGTCAGTGGGCATTAAAATGGAGACAGAATAGAAGAGCTCAAGAAGAGCATAGATTTTTAGGTAGAAGTAGAAAAATGAGAAACATAATGGCTGATGCTGCTAATCTGTGGGAAGTCTATAATGCAATGTATACTTTGCTCTAAACTACTCTCTTCCCTTTTCTGAAGAGGTAAAGAGATTAGGAAAGAGAAGAATTAGCAGCACCTAATTACTTCAGCAATTATGCTAGGCATATTGCAATATACATAATAGATGAGATATTATTAATACAAAGCTATTCCGTTGAGATGCTCTGGATAATATAAACCAGAAGTACTCTTAAAAAATAATTCCTTCTCATGCAGCATTTCAAATACTTCTGTGTACTTCAACTTTTTAT